GCCGCGCACACCTTCTATTTACGTACGAAATAACTTACAAAAACCATTGAATATGTTCTCTACGAGTTTTGGCAAATAAAAAAATAACAAAAAACATTACAAAGTTCGCCAATATAGTGGACGGTCATGCCGCACGTTCATTGGTTAAAAACATCCGCCAGATCTGTTCATATAGGGTCTCCCCCCAGGATGAGCCCATACGTGTGGTTTTGTGATTGGCAGACTTGTCAGTATTCCCGTCAGGCAAATTCCTGCCAGCAGTATCGTTTTCCGTGATTGTCATATGTGGCAGTAATCCCGAGTTACTCCTCGATCAGTCAATCAGGCCACTAGCCGCCCCAAACCCCGCAAATCTGAGCTGCTCGTGCAGTTAAGGTGTCATCAGAGAGGTAGTGAAGTTCAATTTGGCTCTGGAGAGATAGCTGATGCGCTCTCGTCTGGCAGGTACGAAGTTCACATACTTCCGTCAACTTAAAATCAAGCAAATCTGCCAAACCTCCTAAATAATAAGTCAGCCTATTAGTAATTCTGGATGCTTGTTTAGGAAATACTGCTTGGGCAGTCAGCTTGTTGTCCCGTATTGGTAGATTCCATACGAGCGATAAAGTTGGGCGGGTAAAATCGATCCAACTGTAATTAAACCCACGGTGTGAAGCGTGGCATTTGTAGCTCAACTGGGAGAGCATTGGCTTCGCGCAAAAGGCCTTCTGTACTATGTAGGTTTATATCCCACCGAATGCCGCGAGTTTTTTCACAATTGGGTCAAATTAAAATTAAGCAAATCTACCAAACCTCCTAAGTAAACAGTTTAAGTCCAAAGAATTTCCTTTATGCATCTAAACAAATCAGACTTGAACCGTGGTACCCACAGAATTTACTGAGACCTTCCATGCGCGCGCTTAGGACCGGGCTATGACAATGCAGCATGTTGAAACTGCATCCTAAAACCCAGTGTGTGTATGAGCCATCAAACTAATGCCCGTCATATTATTATCCTGTCCTGCTTTCTGCATCTGTTAAATAATAAGTACCAAATGTATCTTGCGAAGTGTTTTTGGACTGTTGGCTTTCACAGTGACTTAGAGGATTGAGACTGCCATCCCCTTTGCAGAGTTCCGGAGCTATTCCAGCTGATGTTGTGCCGACGGTTAAGGTCTTTTTGAAAAACTAGTGCATGTCACGAAGTCTGAGCACGAAGGAGTTCAAAAATAAGCAGTTGCATGCTTCTCAGATGGCCTTCTATGCAGCCGCGCAGACAGATTATTAAACTAAATAACTTGCGTCAGGTCAGCCAGTTTGCATTTACCCCGAGCAGCTTCCGAGTTATCTTATCGCGCCGAGCCACTAAGACAACGGACTCTATTCGGCTAGGCTGTGAATCCTACATCATCCCTTAGTGTAGTGAGTTAAACATTGCTTCCCGAACCAGTCTTGTGTTTGACTTATATCTCTATCCGCCGTTAAATCAGTCTGCAGTTTGACCCCGCAAACCGTCATGGACTTGTGAAATTTACCTTGTTATTCGGTGACATGCGTTGGACAACTTTTCGTAATTTCTCACACATGCCTTCTCTGCATCCTGCATCGTTATCGCGTCGAAGCAGGCATAATCAACATAATTTGTGTGCTTTTCCCACGTTTTCTTACACAACTGTAGTATCGGAGTTAGATGCGAGGTCTTATTTCCAACGCGTCGGCGTATTCTTCTTCTTATTCCTCTTAGTCGGCTTGCCTTAGTCTGCCCTTGTGGCAACCAATGGCTGTTCGCCTGTGGCTTGCTCACGAAACCCACATTAATCGCTGCATTCGAGAGAGCGAGAGAGAG